TCTAAAACTAGAGGTACGAAAAGGTCCAGAGGGTAATTTTTCGCAGAGGGTGGTGAGTGACTGGAACAGGCTGTCAGAGGTGGTGGTGGAAGTGAATACAATTTTTGTCATTTAAAAAAAATTATTTAGACTGGTATATGGATGGGATAGGTATGGTGGGATATGGACCAAACGTAGGCAAATGGGACTAGATTAATTGTGAAAACTGGGCAGCATAGGCAAGTTGGGCTGAAGGGCCTGTTTCCATGCTGTAAACGTCTATGACTCAAATTACACACCAATTAGTTTAACTTCAGTAGAGGAGGAACTTTCTGCAAACAATTATTTTTGGTAGAATCAATAGTAATGTGGGAAAAAACTGGGTTGATTACGAAGAATTAGCATGGATTTCTAAAGGGGAAGTAGTGTTTAACTAGCTGGAGTATTTTTGAAGAGGTAATGAAAAGGGTTGGTGAGGGTCATGCTTATGATGTGATATACGTTGACTTATGGAGGCCATTTGATTCAGTGTTTCACAACCGACGTGTTGAGTTGTAGGTCATGGTGTGAGGTGATGCAGTTTGGTAGGAAGAACATTGAGAGCGAATAAGAGTACAATTCTAAAGGGGGTGCAGGAGCAGAGGGACCTGAGTGTACGTGTACACAAACCTTTGAAGATGGCAACTCGGGTGTGGAGAACAAAAAATAAATTACGCTGTTTTCAGCTTTTTTAATAGGACATAGAATAGGGTGCAGGGAGATGATGTTGAACTTGTGCAAAATGCTTGTTAGACCTCAACTGGAGTATTATGTAGAATTGTGATGCCACATTATAGGGAAAGATGTAAATACATTGAAGAGAGTGCAAGTATTTGCAAGAATGGTTTCATTGCTGAAGTTTCTCATCCATGAAAATAGATTGAAGTTGGGACTGTTCTCCCAGGAGAGAAGGCTGAGAGGAGATCTGGTTTGAAGTTTTTAAAACCATTAGAAGCTGGATAGAGTAAATAGGGTGAAGCTGATCTTTTTGTTTTAAAAAAAAAAAAGAGCACGTTGGTATAGATTGAAAGTGATGTGCAAACGAAGCAAAGGTAATGTTTGAAAAACTTTCTCTGAGTAGTTCAGGAATGGAACGTGCTGGAAGTGTGGTGGAGGCAGGTTTAGTTGAGGTATTCAAGATGACATTGGATGATTGTTTTTAATAATGGTAATAGGGTGCAGGAGGTTAGCACTAGTTAATATAGCCAGTACAGGTCTGATGGACTGAATGGCTTCATTTTGCACTGTATAATTTTGTAATTCTGTTATCTATCCTTTTATTCCTACTGTTTGTTTTCAGTCAGCTTGTCAATATTTTATCCATCCTAGAGCATTACTGTGTACATCATGTGCTGTGTTCCCTTTAAGCTGCGCAGCCGTGCTTGGAAATGCCTTCAGAAGTTGCTGCCGTGGAAGGAAATTTGAAGCCCCCATGCACTGAGCAGAAATTAGAGGAACTATTGATCATGAGCTTTAATTTTTCACAATAGCTTTTGCTGTCATACATTTTTTTCTCAAATGCCTTCTCGAAATTTAAGTAAATTAATCAGTTCCCCTTTATCCAGAGAAACTCGATAAATTGGTTAAACATGATTTCCTTTTTAGAAAACCATTGTTGATTCTGCCTGATTGCCTTGAATGTTTACAAGTGCTCTGTTATGTCTCTAATATTACTTTTAATATTTTCCCTATGATAGTGATTCAGGAAGGCAGCTCATTACCATCTTCTCTGGGGCAATTAAGGATGGACAACAAATGCTGGCTCAGCCAACAATGTAAACATCCCCTCAGTATTAATTTAAAAAGTTAAGCTACCTTACCTGCTTTCCATCTCCCTCCCTTTTTGAATGAAGGAGTTACATTCACTATTTTCCAATTTAATGGTACTTTCCCTAAAAATCTAGGGTACTTAGGAAAATTAAAATCAAAGCATCAGGCCTCTCATTAGCCACTTCTTTTTAAGGTGTTTGGATGAAGTCCATCAGTGCCGGGATTTGTATTACCACTTCCCAGGTGATTATAGCTTCTGGAAGTTCCTCCTTCCCTTCATTTCCCGATTCACGTCTATTTCTGGGATGTTACATATTTTCTCTGAAGTTAACATTGATGCAAAATACCTGTTCAATTCATCTGCCCTCTCCTTATTTTCCCTTATTAATTCTCTAGACTCACATTCTACAGGACCAATGCTCCTGTTATTTTTAAATGTCTGTAGAAATTCTATCTATTTATTTTTATATTTGTAAATAATTTTCTTGTGTATTTTAATTTTTCCTAGCTTTTTAACTTTTATTATTTATATTCTTCCACTTTTCTGTAATGTTACCCATCTTTGTGCAATTGCATACTTTCTCTTTAACTTTCCGACTGTCTTTAACTTTGTTAGTTAAGTGAGATAGTGGATTCTCCCCTTGGATTGTTTTTTCCTTGTTGGAATGTATCTATTCTTTGTATTCTAATATATAAACTAAAATGTCCATTGCATTTCTGCTGGCCTATTCCTTGACTAAATTTTTCTGTTCAATTTAACTATCTTTGCTTTCATGCCCTCCTAATTACAAAGACTTCATTTTAATACTTCGGCCTCGTGCATCTGTCCTTCAATCTGAATATAAAATTCATTCATATTGTGATCGCTGCTACCTAGACACACCTTTGCTTAAGATCATTCATTAATCCTATTTCATTGCACAATACTGGGTCCAGCCTGCTCTTAGGTTGGCTCCAGAATGTGCTGTTCTAAGAAAGGATCCGGAAAACGTTCTATGGAATCCCCATCAAGGCTACCTTTGCCCATAAGTTTCCAGTCTTAATGTAAATTAAAATCCCTAACGATTATCTCTAACTTTCTGACAAGCTGCCATTATTTCTGCCTTATCTCGTGGTTACTATTAAGGGGCCTGAACACCACTCTCTCAAGTGACTTCTTGCCATTGTCATTCCTTACCAATGCACAAACAGTTTCCATGTCCTGGTTCCTGAAATTAAGCCATGCTTAATATTTTCATTAAGAAGAGAGCCACCTCACTGCCTTTTCTTAGCTCCTGTCCTTCCTATGTAACCTTTATTCTGTCATCCTGTCTCTGTAATTGCTATCAGTGTATTGTTATTTTCTTGTATTTGCACACCTAGTTTATTGATTTTGTTTTGAATGCTATGTGCATTCTGGTACAGAACCTTTAATTTTGTCCTTTGTATTATTTTTGTAAACTCTAGCCTCATCTGCTGATGTACTCTTTGATTTGTTCTATCTCTCCCCGTCATGGTGTGATATCATCATTTCCTATACTAATATCTAGGCTTGAGCATGCAATGGCTACCTTTGCTCCCCTTTGCTGCTCCATTCATCCCAGCTCCAAGTCCCTGGCAGCAACCTCCCATCCCACATTGTTATATTCTTACCTTCCTACTGAAGTCTTTGCCTTGGTGCAGATGGGTATATTCTGGGCGTGCCTGATCTGTGTCCCTCCAGCGCACTGCCAGCTGCTGCATTCTACTCAAGCAGGCTGTCGGCATTGAAAATGTCAGACTTTGACTCGCATGTGGAATAGCGTCTGCTCCAGCATGAAATTAAAATCAACGATTTTTTTTTTTGATTAACCCATTATACATCTTGTCCTGCATTCACTACATTTCCTCCTTCGGATGACTGCATATTCTGTCCCAAACCTCCCTCGCCACCCCATTGATCCTCTCCCCATTTAAGAACCTTCTTGCTTTTGACTGAGCTTTAGGCTAACCCTTGTCACATCTTCTGTGGCTTGATGTTAACTATGTTTATCTGTTAACAAATAATCATTTCCAGTCCAGACCTATTTGATGATTATCTGCGTCCTAAGAAGAACGATTGTGTCTCAGAAACTTGTAAAGTAATTCTAACCCAGTTAAAGTTATTGATCAGTAGCAGTTGATTTCTGTTACCAAATATAGTGCAAAAATCTGTAGTACATATATCAATTTTGTACAAATATTGTATTTCTCAGGGACAGTGTCTCATTGAGAGAAGACTGAAACCTATTTCCACTTTGTCAAGCTATGGTTACTTTAGTCAAATACTAAAATTCTATTTCTAGACGCCCTGTATATTCACCACACTTAATTGTGGTGAATCTTTTGGAGAAAGAGGCTAATGTGGGAATTGCTTATGGATATTGTTATGTATGTTAAACAATTAATATTCTCAAGTTTTTGACTTTTACAAAATGGGTAATTCTTTAAACAAAAGCATTTACAGGGAGTGGCCATTCCGTTGCCCTTGAGAGGATGGCAGTAAGTTGCCATTTTCCTGAACACAATCGAATGGCTTGTTAGGCCGTTTTGGAGGGAAATTAAGAATCCATCACTTTACAAGTAATAATCCTGAATGTGTGTTGTATTGGACTGTGTATTTGTATATTACTGGACGGAGGTATGATCAGATTATTTGCATGCCAAAGAACCTCTGTCCAAAATATGTCCCAATTCTATGTCCAACAGCCAAAATTATCTGAGTGGTTGGCTCTAGGGCATTGAGAATGCTTAATGATTGATAGACATTCCATCAGCTACTGTTAAATGTTCTGAGGGAAATTAAAGTTTTATGTCCAGAACTGCAAGTTAATTTGGGGAAACTTGTATGAAAATATCCAATACTTCATGGCTATATATGATAATACAAGCTGTTTTGGACACCACCGACTTGGGCAGCTTACAGTGGTCTCTTGGGTAGTGCTATGACTTCCTGTTTGCTGATGGAGCTAAACAGACAACCTGCTTCCCAACCAAAACTTGATCATTGTACCAGCACCTCCAGATATGTGGTAGAGCATCCGCTTGTGTGGCTTTGTGTAGTATCAGTTCCTTTTGTACCATACTGCAGCAAACATTCTGCATAGGATGTGTCAGGTTCAGATCTGTCACCTGGATTCAGAGAGATGGAGTGATGGTTGTGTGTTAAACTTTGGTTTTTTATTCTTCTCCCCTGCCCTCCCCACATCTTTCAGATGCTGCTGGAGCTGCTGCTGATTGAGTTGTGTCCAGAACTGCGAATTCATTTGGAAGAACTTAAACTCTGCCCGAGCCTAACCAGCACCTCATGAATATCTGTGAAGTAAAAGTCATAATGGACCTTTCTTTTTTTTAAAAAAAAAAGCACTATCTACAGAAGGACGTATAGGCCGGGATTTATTGATGTTTGTTGTTTCACCTCACATGTGACAGATGTAGCACTAAGTGAAATGATTTTATGCTGAAGCATAAAGCTACTTACTTTTTCCTTTCATGCTGATATCCAGTAGTTTGTTTCCTTAAGAAGTTCCGATGCCAGTAATTAATGTTGTGAGAAATGGAATAAATATTTTATAAGACAACTTTGGAATTGTATTATTTTTGTTGGTGGTGCATGCGTCATATCTAAGTTGCAAGCTCCTCACAGAGGAATTTAACATTCCTTTCTTATCAGTGACCATTGAGTAGCCTCTGTGTGCAATATGTATGTAGATCATTGTGAATATTTTATTGTTAAATAGAACTAGATTTTATTTTTACCAAAGATTTCAATGGTGTAGATGATTTATAAGCAATAAATTATGACAAAACTTAAACTCTTCAGTGCAATTTTTTCTACTGTACTGTTGGACATGTTAGGATTCAGAATGAATTGTTGATTTCCACCGGACCTCCTCTTGGATCTGGTCTGCTTATATGAAATAAACTACAGTAGCCTTGGCTACTCCACATTATCTGTGCACTCCACTGTGCAGCTCCAACTGTTCAAAATAACTTTTCTTATAGATTTTTTCCTTCTAAATTGGGAACTCTTCTTGATTTGCCTCCAGCACCATGGCTGAAAATCATAAGTAGCTGTGTGAAGATTCACAAGCATTTAGCCATGCTCAATATCTGTTCAGGATCCATTGCATTGCATCATCCTCTTCATTGTAACATAATGACTAAATGTAAATGGTGTGATTTGTAAGAAATATCTGACGCAATGAACATGTTAGTGTATAAATACATTTTTGTAATTATATGTTCAAAGAATGAATTATGGTTGAGGAATCTAAATTAGTTTTTGTTCATCTAGTTCAATTGATTGTGATGCATAATATAATCAACTGTATTATCAATGATCAATGGCAAATGGCACGCACAACAAAGGCAGTAAACTTTCAACCAGTGTATTAATCAATGAATGATAAATGGAAGTTTTAAACATGAAAATTCAGTGGGAGAACATGTTTTCACTACACAGTGCTACAATTTTGTTCAATATTCCCCACGCAGCCATTGTTCCTTTATTATTTATTTCTTTGCTTGTCTTGTTGCCATGCAGACACTTTCCAGCACCTCTGTGTTCTGAATTGACAAGTTAATTAGCTCTCACTGCTGTGGGTAACATCATTCTCTAAATGGTCAGACTGACAGTGTTCAAAATTAAATTATTCCACTGTAGGGATTTAAAATCTTCCAGGTAGAATAATAGAACAGCAACAGACAATTCAGACTATCAAGCCTACTCGGCCTGTTATTAAATCATGCTCGATCTCAATTTCAACTCCAATTTCCCACAAGAGGTCCACATTCCTTGCTACCCTTCTAACTACTTGCATTGATATAATACATATAAGGTAGTAAAATATACTGAGATACCAAGGTGTAGAGCTGGATGAACACAGCAGGCC